AAGATGGAATTTCCGTTGATCCGCAGAAAATTGAAGCTGTAGTGAACTGGCTTACACCTTTTTTGAGGTTGCACACCATGTGCAACCCACTTTACACTTACACCTTACACTTACACCTTATACTTATACTTACACCTTACACTTACACTTTTTGTGTAAGTGGCACATGGTGTGCACTTGCCCACTTAAGAAAACTCCAATTCTTAATACATAAAACTTGGAAATACATAGGCAGAAAGATAATAATGAAACCATCATTGACCATCCATCCACAGGACTGGACTAGTTGTTTTAGAGAGCAGCTTCGTTTGGTGAGGCATAATACAGCAACTCCTGGTTAGCTTCAACTATGGCCATGTCCTCTTCAATTAGAGTCAACCAAATTTCTACTCCCTCACCATCTCTTGTATCCATCAATGTAATTCCAGGTGGGGAAATAGAACCCTGACCAACAACCCCCACCCATGTCGGCTTCCCCCATCCAAAATCTGCTTCGTATAGAGAAAACCGACACCAGCTGCTATGGAAGTATATCTCCATATCATATTCCTTCTTCGCCTGCGGTGCCTTGGTCGACAAATTATTGTTCTGCATGACAGATTCTTCAACCCCTTTCCTCAACTTACACACCAACCCCGACATGTCTGTTACTTCACTCTCGTAGTCATCGTCATCTTTATCAATTATTATCTGGAACATTCCTACTACATTTCCAAAACTATGTTTTGGTAAAGGTGGTATAAGCTTTGACCGCAAGTTTATCGCTCCCTTCAGCATATACGATTTTCGAGTCCCACCAAATCTTGATCTGGATGCAACCAGTGCGCATTTCCAAAAGAGCGCTGTGACAGCCTCGACACGGGTGGGTTGTGGCACGCTCGCGCTCGCAGATTTGGCCTTGAGGTCAACGATTTTTGAGGCAACGACCACAAACTTCTTTGTAACGACCTTTGGGCCCTTTCCACTGAATGTTAACGATGTAACTGGGAAGTCCTCTATTCGGGGGAAGCGAGAGGAGACAGCAGTGAAATCTGGGACTACGGTGTTGGGGGATCCAAGGGCAATTTCAGACCAAGCCTTGATAAATGAGAAAGTGGAAGCTCCATCAGCGATCTTGTGGGAAACTTGCACGGTAATAGCCACTCCGCCGCATGGAAAAAAGTTGACTTGAACGCTTGACACAGGGGCATTGTTATAGTCTGTGGGTTGGGGTGGAGCCAAAGGGACCATGCCTTGAATACTGGGTCGTTCAAGAATGTCGGAGACACCACAGTTGTTGATGACACGAGCTTCAAAAAAATCAATTCCCTCATCGTTGCAATCGACTGAGAGATTGTTTTTCAATCTTCCAGCAAGTGGGTAGAAGTGAGTGAGGGTTTCAGACAGCGAAACCTTTAGACGTTGGGATATTTCATGGAACACGTCATCATATTTATGACCGTTGTCACGACCACCACCACCAAACGTAGCATGAATAGTACTGGGGGCATAGAAGAAAACCACTGGCATGTGAAGAAATGTAGAGCGCTGGTCTGTAGATGAGAGCTTGTGGGTTCTAAGGTAATGGGGGGTGGGAGAAGATGGCTTGATGGTTTCTCTAGAAATTACCTCAACTTCAATATCCATGGGCTAGTTGGTTGCTTGCCTCTATATTTTTTTGGTAGCTTAACTAGTTGGTTGTCACTATCTTGCTACTTCAACTTCACTCACTTCATAACATTCGATGCAACAAATGCTAAAAGACTCCAGAATAAAGGCTAAAAGACTCGATAATATATAGGGGATTCCTTGTAGATTTTTTATTTTATTTATTTATTATATATTTTTGATTGAGATTGCTTGTAAAGTTGTAGATTGAATGGGATAATTTGGGACCGCACCAGCCATCTAAGTTCCTAATGATGACAAATCTATTTTTTAAATTAACGCTGTGTCAGTAAAATAATTGACTTAACGATGAAGAAAAATATGAGATAAAATGTTGTCATAAATGTTTGAATTGATTGAAATATTGGCCTTATTTGGGAAGTGATTATTTTAATAGTTATTTGATTTTTTGGCTATTTTAATAGGCTATTTTAGTTTTTGTGTTTGGAAAGATGAGATGGATTTTATTTGAGTTTTTGTATTGAAAAATGTGTTGAAATGATATTTAAATTTAAAATGACAAATTTGTCCCTAAAATTATATTTTTTTAAATTGATGAGAAGGGGCAAAACTGTAATTTTCCACGTGATGTGACAATTTGTCACTTTGACAATGTAGGCTGTGCCTACACTGTCACAGCAGTGAACCTTTTTTTTTTTATTTTTTTTTTTAATAAAAAAGAATGAAAAGTGGGCTTTTTGACTTATATCTCATTTGAGGCTATAATAGTCTCATTTGCCACTTCCCAAACAGCGCCATTATTGAGTTTGAAAAATAAATCTAATTTTTTAATTTGAACAACAATACTCTTAATGCAATATTTTATCATTTTTTTATTGCCATATTTAGTTAGATTTCTATTTATTGTCTCATATCAAGAATAAGTACAAAATAGATTGGTTAATAATTAGAGAAAATAATTAAAAAAAATAGTTATAATAGATATTTTAATAAATTATCACAAGAAAAACAATGGCTTTCGGGCTATAATTGCAACAATGTTATACACAAAAAAAATGATATATAAACTCACTTATTAGATCTACTTTTAAGATTCAATGATTTGTAAAAATAAAAATTAATTAATGATCACACAAGACACGAAAAAAAATTGTTTTGAGATTTCAATGAACCAACACATTATTAAGTAGGTACTTAGATAGATTTAAAAATGATAAAAACTCAAACAGTCATTACAATAGTAAAAAGTTTATACTATTTATATTTACAACAATGATTTATCTCACTAAAAATATCATCATTAATAGCACTAATGTATTAAAAAAGTAAAAAAAAAAAAATACTACTCCAAGACCAAAACATCACATCATTAATGGCGAGACTCACTGCCACCTAATTAGTGGGAGCACTAACTAATTAGTGCTCCCAAGCATTTTTCTTATATTTATTTTGGCCCAAAAAAACACTTAGTCAGAGGTTAACAAGACCGAAATGCCCCTATTTTTGTACTTTCCTCGCAACCTGTACCCAAAAAAAAAAAAAAAAAATACTTGATATATCTTCTCAGAAGCCGTCCAAGGCACGGATTGCAAAGTTCAAGGCACGGATTAATAAATTTTTGATATATCTTCTCAGAAGCCGTCCAAGGCACGGATTGCAAAGTTCAAGGCACGGATTAATAAATTTGGTCAAAGCACAACTTATTGCTATAGAGAACAATAGCAAAGTTCGAAGCAAAAACACGTTGGACGCGTGAAATGTGATTCCTGGACCTGGAGCATGTTTCATGCGTCTAGGATTGGCAATTTCGTCAAAGGACATCTTGGTGGTGTTTGGTGTAGCTGTTAAAATAGATTATAGATTATAACTTAACAGATTATAGATTATGACTTTAATCAGAAGCTGTTAATCTGTTTGGTATAGCTGTTGGATTATAGATTTAAATTGTGAGTAGTGTTTGTTAAATAAGCTGTGAAGTAGCTTTTTCAATTAATTTTTATTTTTTATTATTTACTATTTGTCTACATTTTTCATAATTTCAATTAGCATACCTTATGCTTGTATGTTTGCATCATTCATTTGTCTTGCATGTACCGAGGCTCGGCGCATCATTCAAACTGCATTGTATTTCAACACCTATTTGAATACGTGTTTCAAAGCATGTTATCAAATTGTCGCATTCATATGCCATCCTAGATAGCCGAGTCTATTAGTTGCAGTATTGCATGTGTTGCATTAGGCATCTTAACATAGTTAGGATCATGCATGATTTCTAACTAGCTTTTGTTTCTGCTTGGAGTACACTGTAAGTTTTACGCTTTAGCATACTTGCATGAGTGTGAGTGTTGCCATGTTTCGCATGCTTGCCGCGAGGCTATTTGCTTAATTGATTAACTGCACGAATGCCTGTGGATGAAGGCTTGATTACTTGAATTGGAACAATTCATCGGATGTGAGTTTTAAGCCCACTTTGCGAAGTGGCAAAATCATGTTTTAAGCCCACTTGAGGGTAACAAATCCGCGCTTTAGCCCACTTGAGGGTGGCACTTTCAAACCAATTCTTGCGATTTTAGTCTATACTTGTATGCTATGCGCATCATGTAGTAAAGTTAGCTAAATAATCGGAATAAGAACACATGTGTTTTTCAAACATATCATACTTAGTAGAGGCCGATCTTTGATCGGGCGAGCGGGGGTGCTCATTTCAGGACCTTCCTCTCTCGTACCCAAGTTCCCAAGCCGAGGCAACTTTAGTGATGACGAATACGTGACCTTTGTCACGAGTCAAGGTTTCCTAAATTTTTCAAAAATGAAATATTTAGGTGGCGATTCTGTAATCTGGCAAAGCATTCTAGTTTTGGCATTATTTGATTTAAAATCTGATTTTTCAAAATGATTTGTCGGATTGGACTCTTTGGTGTTTATCAGTCTCACATTGCACTTTGTGAGATTAGATTCAGAACCGTGACAAGAGTCCGAACTGTAGGAGACCAATTCGCCTCTCTCCGAAAGGGGGGCGCGTGAAGAAAGTCGAGTCTACAGTTTCTGGCGACTCTGCTGGGGATTTAGAGAACTTGACTTGAACTCATGATATGTTGTTTTATTTACACTTATGTGTTTCTTTGCATTGCATTTGCATCGGTGTGCCTAAATCATAGTGTTTGACATCTGCTATTCCTAAAATGGGTGTTTGGGAAACGGGTTTTATGTATGTTTTTTTAGTTGTAAGATATTATTGGAGAAAAAACTTTTGGTGTTTGAGAAGGTAGTTGGGTTTTTTTGTGATTGGATGTGATGTTTGTGAGAGAAAAAAATGAAATGATTATGGGATTGGATGTGATATTTTGTACAGATTTATTTTTTTTAATTTTGCAAAAACTTTGTCTTTTAGTGAAAAAAATCAAAAAAAAAACCCAAAAAGTTTTTTTTCCAAACACCGCCAAACAAAGATAGCAAGTCATCACCATGACTCACAGAGGGCTACAAACAAGACATTAATTCTTAAGGGTTTGGTTATGGTGTGCAACTTACACCTTACACCTTATACCTTACACTTACACCTTACACTTACACCTTTTGTAAAAAATTAAACCTTACACTTACACCTTTTTTGAGGTTGCACACCATGTGCAACCCACTTACACCTTACACCTTACACTTACACCTTATACTTATACTTACACCTTACACTTACACTTTTTGTGTAAGTGGCACATGGTGTGCACTTGCCCACTTAAGAAAACTCCAATTCTTAATACATAAAACTTGGAAATACATAGGCAGAAAGATAATAATGAAACCATCATTGACCATCCATCCACAGGACTGGACTAGTTGTTTTAGAGAGCAGCTCTGTTTGGTGAGACATAATACAGCAACTCCTGGTTAGCTTCAACTATGGCCATGTCCTCTTCAATTAGAGTCAACCAAATTTCTACTCCCTCACCATCTCTTGTATCCATCAATGTCATTCCAGGTGGCCTAATAGAATCCTGACCAACAATCCCCACCCATGTCGGCTTCCCCCATCCAAAATCCGCTTCATATACAGAAAATCCACCCAAGCTGCTATGGTAATACATCTCCATTTCATATTCCTTCTTCGCCTGCGGTGTTGCCTTGGTAGACAAATTATTGTGCTGCATGACAGACTCTTCAACCCCTTTCCTCATCTTACACACCAACCCCGACATGTCTGTTACTTCACTCTCGTAGTCATCGTCATCGTTATCAATTATTATCTGGAACATTCCGGCTACATTTCCAAAACTATGTTTTGGTAAAGGTGGTTTAAGCTTTGACCGCAAGTTTATCGCTCCCATCAACATATACGACTTTCGATTCCCACCAAATCTTGATCTGGATGCAACCAGTGCGCATTTCCAAAAGAGCGCTGTGACAGCCTCGACACGGGTGGGTTGTGGCACGCTCGCGCTCGCAGTTTTGGCCTTGAGGTCAACGATTTTTGAGGCAACGACCACAAACTTCTTTGTAACGACCTTTGGGCCCTTTCCACTGAATGTTAACGATGTAACTGGGAAGTCCTCTATTCGGGGGAAGCGAGAGGAGACAGCAGTGAAATCTGGGACTACGGTGTTGGGGGATCCAAGGGCAATTTCAGACCAAGCCTTGATAAATGAGAAATAGGAAGCTCCATCAGCGATCTTGTGGGAAACTTGCACGGTAATAGCCACTCCGCCGCATGGAAAAAAGTTGACTTGAACGCTTGACACAGGGGCATTGTTATAGTCTGTGGGTTGGGGTGGAGCCAAAGGGACCATGCCTTGAATACTGGGTCGTTCAAGAATGTCGGAGACACCACAGTTGTTGATGACACGAGCTTCAAAAAAATCAATTCCCTCATCGTTGCAATCGACTGAGAGATTGTTTTTCAATCTTCCAGCAAGTGGGTAGAAGTGAGTGAGGGTTTCAGACAGCGAAACCTTTAGACGTTGGGATATTTCATGGAACACGTCATCATATTTATGACCGTTGTCACGACCACCACCACCAAACGTTGCATGAATAGTACTGGGGGCATAGAAGAAAACCACTGGCATGTGAAGAAATGTAGAGCGCTGGTCTCTAGATGAGAGCTTGTGGGTTCTAAGGTGATGGGGAGTGGGAGGAGATGGCTGGATGGTTTCTCTAGAAATTACCTCAACTTCAATATCCATGGGCTAGTTGGCTGCTTGCCTCTATATTTTTTAGGTAGCTTAACTAGTTGGTTGTCTCTATCTTGCTACTTCAACTTCACTCACTTCATAACATTCGACGCAACAAATGCTAAAAGACTCCAGAATAAAGGCTAAAAGACTCGATATATATAGGGGATTCCTTGTAGATTTTTTATTTTATTTATTTATTATATATTTTTGATTGAGATTGCTTGTAAAGTTGTAGATTGAATGGGATAATTTGGGACCGCACCAGCCATCTAAGTTCCTAATGATGACAAATCTATTTTATAAATTAACGGTGTGTCAGTAAAATAATTGACTTAACGATGAAGAAAAATATGAGATAAAATGTTGTCATAAATATTCTAATTGATTGAAATATTGGCCTTGTTTGGGAAGTGACTATTTTAATAGTTATTTGACTTTTTGATTATTTTAGTAAGCTATTTTAGTTTTTGTGTTTGGAAAGATGAGATGGATTTTATTTGAGTTATTGTATTGAAAAATGTGTTGAAATGATATTTGAATTTAAAAGGACAAATTTGTCCCTAAAATTATATTTTTTTAAATTGATGAGAAGGGGCAAAACTGTAATTTTCCACGTGATGTAACAATTTGTCACTTTGACAATGTAGGCTGTGCCTACACTGTCACGGTGGTGAACCTATTTTTTTTTTTAATTTTTTTTTTAATAAAAAAGAATGAAAAGTGGGCTTTTTGACTTATATCTCATTTGAGGCTATAATAGTCTCATTTGCCACTTCCCAAACAGCGCCATTATTGAGTTTGAAAAATAAATCTAATTTTTTAATTTGAACAACAATACTCTTAATGCAATATTTTATCATTTTTTTATTGCCATATTTAGTTAGATTTCTATTTATTGTCTCATATCAAGAATAAGTACAAAATAGATTGGTTAATAATTAGAGAAAATAATTAAAAAAAATAGTTATAATAGATATTTTAATAAATTATCACAAGAAAAACAATGGCTTTCGGGCTATAATTGCAACAATGTTATACACAAAAAAAATGATATATAAACTCACTTATTAGATCTACTTTTAAGATTCAATGATTTGTAAAAATAAAAATTAATTAATGATCACACAAGACACGAAAAAAAATTGTTTTGAGATTTCAATGAACCAACACATTATTAAGTAGGTACTTAGATAGATTTAAAAATGATAAAAACTCAAACAGTCATTACAATAGTAAAAAGTTTATACTATTTATATTTACAACAATGATTTATCTCACTAAAAATATCATCATTAATAGCACTAATGTATTAAAAAAGTAAAAAAAAAAAAATACTACTCCAAGACCAAAACATCACATCATTAATGGCGAGACTCACTGCCACCTAATTAGTGGGAGCACTAACTAATTAGTGCTCCCAAGCATTTTTCTTATATTTATTTTGGCCCAAAAAAACACTTAGTCAGAGGTTAACAAGACCGAAATGCCCCTATTTTTGTACTTTCCTCGCAACCTGTCCCAAAAAAAAAAAAAAAAATACTTGATATATCTTCTCAGAAGCCGTCCAAGGCACGGATTGCAAAGTTCAAGGCACGGATTAATAAATTTTTGATATATCTTCTCAGAAGCCGTCCAAGGCACGGATTGCAAAGTTCAAGGCACGGATTAATAAATTTTTGATATATCTTCTCAGAAGCCGTCCAAGGCACGGATTGCAAAGTTCAAGGCACGGATTAATAAATTTTTGATATATCTTCTCAGAAGCCGTCCAAGGCACGGATTGCAAAGTTCAAGGCACGGATTAATAAATTTTTGATATATCTTCTCAGAAGCCGTCCAAGGCACGGATTGCAAAGTTCAAGGCACGGATTAATAAATTTTTGATATATCTTCTCAGAAGCCGTCCAAGGCACGGATTGCAAAGTTCAAGGCACGGATTAATAAATTTTTGATATATCTTCTCAGAAGCCGTCCAAGGCACGGATTTTTCACAATTTTTTTACTTTTTAAATACATCTAAATAAGGTACATCTAAAAAAGTAAAAAAAATGTTTAAAATTTTAAAAATATTCACTAAGAAACAAAAAAAAAACGAAAACCAAAAAACTCAATTTTTCAAAAACTTAATTGAAAAAACTAAAACCAAACACACTGATTGCTATTATTACTACAATTTATATTTTTTTTTTAAATTTATTTCACCAACTTACTTATTTTAGAGCACATCATTTTTCAGTATATATATTTATTATTTAATTTTTGTTCATTCTTTTAATTCCACGCGTTTAATATTTTAATTATACCCTAACTTATATATTTATACATACACCTAAAATCTCATTCTACGCATGTCCTTTAACCAACATATTAATAGGCACAAATGGCCCCAAAACCCCAGCCAGGTCAGTTAAATTGTGAATATTGTTCTCTCTCCGCTTATATTATTATTACTATTTAAAATTATTTTTATTAAAGTGGTATACTTTTGTTGTTATACTTTTGTATTTATATATATATATATATATATTTTCTGTTCTTATAATTGGTTGATTTATTTATTTTAATTTTCTTTTTTTCTTTTGTGCAATTAATTAGGAACTTCTTGATGTCTAAATAATACATGAAGTAGGAGAAGACTAAAAAAACAAAAAACAAAAAAAACAAAAATGATCTGTAGCTCGAAATTTTCGAGCTCGAATGCTCTGGAAAAAAAGTAAAGTCTATTCTCTCTCCTCAGACTCCAAAACCATCTCTCTCTTCTCACTCTCGCCTCATACTCGACTCTATTCGAGCCCTTAATCTCTTCCAAATCCTCTCATCAACACTGTATCCTCATACGTCTCTATGAACACATAGAACAGATCTTCATCTACGAGTGTGGACTCGCATACGGTGGTGTCGACTAGCAGAAAAAAAGGGTACCACAACAAAAGGTAAACGCATAATTGCAAAAAAACTAGAGTTTGTGTTTCTGTGTTTGGATTTTTCGTGCAATTTGTGTTAAGGTTTTGGTTTTGGCTTCAATTTGTAGAACATGTTTTCCGGCCTTATCAATTAATGATTGTTAGGGTTATGATTGTTTGTTAGGGTTTGGGCATTATGGGTTTTGCCTTTAATTTTTGATTGTTATGTTGATTTTGATTGGCCATTATGTTGATTGTTTGGGCATTATGGGATATCTGTTGATTGAGTCAGACATGAGTTAATAGGATTGATGAGGTTTTGATGTCTCAATTTGATGTTTGAACATAACAGTTAAGGTGTCAAGTTCAAGCCTCTCCTAATGGGTCATTGGAGGTTTGTTTTCACCATTGAGTGTTATTTTTTGTTACATTCTTGCCGAGCTGTTGGCTGGGAAGCCTATCATGTCTGGTCGAACAGAGGTAACTTTGAAACTTTTTTACTTTACCCCTTTCGAGTAATACCTCAACCATTCTGACTCTTCGGGAAGTACTAGGTTATGTTGTTTGCTCTGAGTACTTCACTATTCTACTCCTAGTCCTAGTTGACAAATGAATGAAATGACAATTGGTTTTGATTATTTGAGAAGGTTGATGATATTGAGAAGTGTCTTGTGTATGTCTTATCTCCATTTGTTTTAATGCACAAAGAATAATTGCAAGAGGTGTTTCTGCTATTTTATGATGTTTGTAATAATTGCAAGAGCTCTCAGCTTACACCCATCCATTTTCCCAATTGCCAACTCAGCAGACCCGTGATGGCAAAGAGTCGAAAACCAGTTGTGGCAATGATAACAGCCCTAAACTAGATAATTGTCATGGAGGATAAGACCATTGCTGAGATGCAACGCCCATCTGGGGCATTTACCACACATCTAGGCCTGGGTCCCCAGCCGAACTTTGACCCACTTCCGCTAGTTGAAGATTTGCAAGGTCTAGATCCTCGAGAAAGGTTGGCTCAAGCTCAAGTTTTCAGATCCCTGGTGCAACCTAATGAGGGGCTTTATCCCCTTCACATTGATGATCTCGACCTGACCTTGTTAAAACTAGCTAACCTTGAGAAGCAATTCAAAAAGGCACAGGAAATTAGCTCTATTCCCAACATTGAGGATGGGTACACCGAGGCTGCCATAAGGCTCCCAGATAGATTCAAAACGCCACATATTGACTGTTTTGACGGGTCTAGAGATTTATGGTACATATCTGGCTTTTCTTGGACGTCCTGAAACTGATGGGTCTGACTAAGCCTCATAAGCTCTCCATGTATGGCCGAACCCTATCAGGTGCCACTTGGTACGCCAAGTTGGAGGATAAAGTAAAGCAGAACTGGGAAGATTTGGATGAGACATTTTTCAATCAGTATGCTTACAATATCCAAATTGAAATGACCACTGAAAAGCTTGAAGCAACCCACCAGAATCCTAAAGAACCTTTTGTGGAATTTGTTGCAAGGTATGGAGCAAAGGCAGCACAAATGACAAATCGACCGTCTAAAGGGGACCAAGTGCGAATAGTGGTGCAAAACCTTGAGCTTGATATGTTACAAAATTTAATAGTCGCCCCACTATTCACTTTCAAAATTTTGCATGAAATAGGGATTCAGATTGAAAGTGCATTTAATAGAGGGATTATTTCTAGGGCAAACGACCCAACAAGGAGGGTGTTTTCCAGGAATACCAATGATAGCAGTAGAACTATTCCCAAACCCACTGAACTCAACACCGTTGCTACCAATCCCAAAATTGCTGACCTTTTTGCCAATACCAACCCACAAACAGCCAGTCCAACCCGAGCTGAAGGCAAAACTTTCACCTCCCTCCATATGAGCTTAACTAGCGCACTAAAAGTCCTGATGGAAAGAGGGTATCTCAAACCCCTTTATCTCCAACCTCTTCCTGACCTACTCCCTGCTACACATAACCCCACCAAATACTGTACATATCATCAGCAGCGCGGTCATGGCACCGACCGTTGCTACCGCCTTCGTCATGGGTTCAGAATCTCATCAACAACCAGACGATAACACCACCTCAAGACCCCAATGTTACTACGAACCCACTTCTCATCCATGACCAAGTATCTCCTCCCCACCAAGACTTAGACGCCCTAGGTTGATCATTCGATGATGAAAGTTATGCTATACAAACATTCGATTTCTTCAG